GTTGAAACCCTTGAGATCCATATGATGTGGCAGCATTCATGGAACACTTTGTTTCTATAGTGCGAAGCTTTTTACACCCGACTTCCTGTTTTTGTAGCCAGTTATTTCTAATTGCACTGACGACATTTTACTCGCAACTGAGACAGATGATGAGAGAATTTAAAAGCGGAGGCTGCTGTTCGTTTGACGTTTCTTGCTTTTGTTTGTTTTTTTAACCATGACCACGGTCGACTGTAACCTTGACGACAAGTGTTCCCTTGACTTAATCAAAGTACTTATTTCAACTCATAACAAGATCTTTCACCAAACCTCTAGGTGTTGGACCCCATCCTAACCAAACCTGAACACATCATAAAGTGAACGTATTATTATTGATTTGTTACAGTATAACAGTTTGTTACAGTCTGGACAGCCCGTTCTCACTCCCAACGCGTCGTGGCAGCTTGCTCAGGAAAAAGTGGATTTCGTCCTGAGGAACTCTGAGTCTCATTGAAGAGGCATGAAAGGCATTAGAAAGAAGCGCCGCTCCTCACTGCCACTTGTTTCCCAGCGAGCGGAGGCCTTTCTGTGCGAGGGTTATTGCGTTTACAACTCACTTGAACCTCATGTGTGAAGTACACGACTGCTGGACAATAACTACATTTTGTGATTCACGCCCTTTGATGTATGAAGGCAGACATTAAACGTGTGGTTGGGGTTACAGGCACTTTGTGGTTGGAGAACCAGACGCTCTTCATGGGGCAGCGGAGGAGGATTCGTCTCCTTGAACTGTAGCAAACGGCTTTGAGGAACACATGGGTTTCATCGCAGATATTGAACGCAACCACGGACTTATCCAGCAAAGAGGACCTGACACGAACAATACATATGGATATGTATGTTTTTTATTTGGAAGTATAAATAAAACAAATACAACACATAAAATGAACAGTAAAATATAGCAAACTCTTCATGTACACGTTCTCCTCAACAATATAAATAAACAACGTAAAAAAATACCTAGGAGGCCTTTGTTTTGAGTATTGCTGTATTTATGAGGGCCAGTTTTAGTTTTAAACCATGAGGACATTTTAGGGGTTTGGCAATGCATTATGTCTATGGGGGTTCTCACAAGTACAGAAAGACGAACTGCTTATGTGGGATTGAAAGAGGTCTATTAATAGAGCTCTATGTGTCTCCTTTCAAATACACAGGAAGTAAATACACACACACACACACACACACACACACAGGCCTGTCTGGCACCGCACCAGCCTGCATGTGTATCTGTGTAAGTGTCTATCACTCACATTCACACACTTTACTAAACACGAACAGGAGGCCCTCAAATACACACTTGCATTCTTCACATGCAGTCCAGTTATGTCTACTGTGACCTCCACTCCCATCACAAACATCCACTTCATTTATTTAGCTTCAGTTTCCAGCTTTTAACGTCCCTCTGATTCTAAGAAACAGTCCAAACAGCAACAGTGACAGTAACAGTAAAAAGGAATAGTGATGTTAATAGTAATGATGATAGTGACAAATTCAAATCATTATAAGAATAATAATATGAAAAGCTAACACATATGTAAACCACATTAGCTCACAGTGGAACACCATGGACCACTGGCAGAAGAAGGTGTTTAAGGTGTTTTACCTGAAAGGGCCACAGGGTTCAGGGGAATCAGAGAATGTCAAAGTCTTTCTTGAGTGGCAGCCTCCAGCTTGAGTTGACCAATAATGATGTAAAAGCCTGCCAGATGCACACATTTGAACCTTTCCCACCTCGACCATACATCCTACGTCCTTTGTCCTTAACCGTCTCAGCATGCTTCCAATGAAGTTCTTGATGGACCGTCATAATTAGCGGGTGTCGTGCTTGACAATTTCTGTCACATTTTCCAACACTAAAATAAATTCAATACTTTCTAATTATCTGTCTGTCTGTCTGTCTGATGTTGTGATTATGTCAATTATTCAGATGCTCCTTTCTCCTGCAGTCCAATGTACAAAGACATCAGAGTGAAAAGCATGTATTTATCCCCTTTTGGACGGATGCATTACCAAGTCTTCCTGTTTTACTTGCCGTGTTTAACCAGGTTTTACAGATCAGGGCTGATATATAAAGATGCATCCGCTATTGTGGCTCTGCGAGTCTTCAGCCTCCATCAGCAGCCTGATTGACGCTTCTATTCACCTATAAGTGCCGCCTTCACTGCGCTTTTCCCCACAGCTTTTATTTTACAAATGGACGTTTTTGCTTTTTTAGCAATCCCTTTGGACTCGCTCCTTTCACTGCCACTTGGAGGTAGAAATATAGAAATAAATGTGGAAATAATAACAGCATATGGCCTCTCTCCCACTCTCCACTGGGCTGGAATCACAGTGTGACTGTATTACAGAAGAGGAACATGTTTCCATATCAAAAGGCAGCAACAAGCAGGGCTTCTGTCAGATTGTCATGCATGCAGGAGAGCAGAAAAACTCATCCATGTGTCCTTTTACACGCAAAATAAAATCATTTTTACCCATCTGTAATTGATTTGAGCTGGAATGCAGAAAGAAAATTTAAAGTTTAAATCTAATAATCCTGTTTTGCTTTCCATATTACTAGAAAGGTGTGTGCAATAAGCTGAGGGCTGCAGCTGCTGACACTGAACATCGAACATCTTTCTGAGCCTCACACCCTATAACCTGACCCTGAAAATCTACAATGGTGGATTTATAAATATTTCAATTTCTAAACTAAACATCTGATGACATGTTTGTCATGAAGCAATACAATATTGCATTTTGGATTGGGAGCAACATTTCAGGAAGCACAAGCTTTAACACAGCTTTTATTTCTATAGGAATTTCTAAATTGTCATTTTCCATTTGCTGCCTTGTGACAGCGTAGTTCAGTTGGGACAAACTCACAAAACACTCACAGGTGATAATGGACAACAGCTGGTCCACTTTATGGTCTGAAGGGGCAACAGGAACCTGCTGGAGTGGTTCAGGTCTGTGAGGGGACTGGATCCACCAATCAGGTTCTTTTTAAGAGGCACTTCTAGTTTCACCACTCTGGAGCCAACGCACACGGTAAGCACACATTCATGATCCTAATAGAATGAAGACGCTTCTTAATGATCCAATGTGCTGGAACAGGGTGCGCGTGAGGAAATAGAAGAAAGTGACACATATACAGCCTTATAAATATCATTAGTAAACACATGGCTCAGTGCAGGGAATGTGATACCCATCTCTGTTTTTCCGTCTGACGTTCCACCGAAAGAATGAATTTTAAAAAAGAGATATTGAATTATTACATAAAGAGACAAAGGATCATATGTATGTTGTAATATAACTGCTAATGCGTATGCTTGTTTTCTATCATATACAGCATATGATAGATGATTCTTGACTGATTTAATATCTGAAGTCCCAAATTTAAAAAAATATGAGTCACATATGAATCACATATCATAATATGAAATATGTTAAAAACTTTTTCTCTCAGACAATATTCTGCATAATTTGGTTTCAGCAGTGTGTGTAGGCTGACGTTTATTATCATCCACATTTTTAACGTAAAATAATGAACATTATTCATATTTGCGTGCGCGAGGAAACAAGTCCGCGGAACTCATCTGCGGAGATGATTGAAATCAGTGTCTTTACCGCATTATGGAGGAGAATGAAGCACCAAACTGACCTCTAATCATCTCCCTTATCTCACCGGCACATTTTCAAATCACAAACTTATATGTCGGCCCGACATGAGCATGCGTTAAGACCACATTGAGCGTTAAATGCAATCAGCGAGTCCCATTAAGGGTCTGAACCGGGAATCCACGTTCCTCCACAGCATCACCCCCCAAACACACAGACAAACACCAGCACTCAGCGCATATGTTGATTCGCGTGTAAATATGCAATAAGTACTCTGTTTCCCAGGCTGAATGGAGGCGATAATGGGCCGTTATCTTATCCCGGTCGGGGGGGGAAATGTTCGGCGTTTGTCACCCCGCAGACAGAGCCGCTGCCTGGGGAAGGAAAACGCGCTGATCTGCTCCCCGCGGAGAAGCGAGTGGAGGGTGGATAATGAGATGAGTCCCAGATATAATGCACAGCGGCTTCTGTCTGACATGGAAATATGGTTATTATTCATTTACTCATATAGGGAGAGGAAATAAAACAAATAAAAAGCCTTGATTACAGTTGTACCGCGCCGGTACGCACGCGTGTATCTACAGGTTGAGAGGTTATTTTATTAATTTAGGAATCGTGTGTGCCTTGGGAGTGTTTATACGAATACTACATTAATAATAAATCATCATTTCATAATAATGATGACAATAAGGCATGATTCCACACATACATCACCTCATAGCACGTATCAACAAATGAATGAATCTGAATAAAATAAGCAAAACATGCATTGAGTTTTTGTGAAGGCTGAATTTGTCTATTTGAAATTGGTAAATTATTATTAATATTACCTTGAAATAATAATAATAACTTGACACGTGCAAAGTTGCCTGCGTGCTGTGGTTTTGCCGTAGCTTGATATCATGTTCAGCAGAGTTGACCTCTTATTTATTTACTATTTCTTATCAACGATTTTAAAAACATTCTGTAACCCTTTGGTCCAGTTTAATTTTCAATATTATGAACTGATAAATAAAGGTTTCTAAGGTGTCGGTTTTGAGGTTGACTCTGACTTCATGAATGAACCCCCTTACTGTAAACACTAATGTAAATGTGTTCCATAGATTGTGATGCCTTCGCTGACAAGGAAATAATCGGATTACTCTGTGACCCAGCAACGGAGTTTTTCCAAAAGTCTGCAAACAGTGCGGATTATCTTAATTTAATTAATTCTCAATACACAGATGTGCGGCCGTTCACGCCGCGAGTTGCGGCAGCTGAACCCAGAGCAGCCGCTCCGCCGTGACGTCAGCGGCGTATAAAAGCAGCCCTGCTCTCAACAGGTCCATTTCAAACCAGAAGTCCATATCCTCGAGACGAAGCTCGCGCAGGGAAGAAAAGAGTCACCATGACGCAGTTTTAGGAGAACTTTCCTCACGGAGTTCTTCCAGTCCGGACCTTTTCTTTCACGGAGCAACTTTCACTTCCACCGAGTTTTTACCCGTTTCCGAGCCCGCCGCGCACCGGTGTGATGCCCGCCGGGATGTTCAGCATAGACAGCATCCTGTCCGGCCGGCCGAGCTGCAAGGAGCCGCTGCTGCTGCACCGGAGCGGCCCGGTGGTGCTGTCCGCCGGCCTCACGGACTCTATCTACACCGACTACAACGGACTGTACTCGGCCACATGCGCTACTTCTCCCCCCGGCGTTCAGTCCGTGAACGGGACCAGGATAGGATATAACGGCTACTACTACGGACAGCTGCACGTCCAGGGCGCCGGAGGAGCGCCGCCGTGCTGCGGCTCAGTGCCCGGCCTCAGCCCGCAGCAGTGCCCGTGCATCCCGGCAGGTAGGACAACCAAAGTCTCCCTTTCTTCATAATTTGACCAACTTCAATTTTGGCGTGGAACTGCTAATTTAAGAGATCAACACATAATTCCACACAAATAATTATTTGTATATGTTTTAAATGCATATTGCTCTTTTTTCTCTTATTATTTCCAGATCAACGAGAAAAGAAATAGTTGAGGTTTAGTCATTGCACCGGGTCTCACACAAATGATCCACAAATAGAAGACAATATTTCTGTATGTAGTATTTTTAAAAGTGTGCTTTTTGAGGATGTCCTTAAATTAGTGTTTCTACGACATAGTTCGAAAACACACAATATATAAATATTTCAGATTTTATGCCCAAAACAATTGCAACGTTAGTTTACGCATGAACTCAAATCTGCACTTCCACACAACCGACACCAAATACTCGAAGATATTCTAATGTGATGTCAAATGCATGTGTGATGAAATGATCTCGTTCGTTTGATGAGCCCAGTGCTGTTCGTGTGCAGGATCGATGCCACTGAGCCGTTTCCAAACTGCTGCTTTACGCATGAACTTAACAAACTCGTGTATTCGAAAGAAAAGATTGTTTCAAATGGTCAGCTCAGTTTGAGAAAAACAGAGTTTGTGGTTTTTAATGCACGAGCAACACTATTCACGTGCATAAAAGGAGACCAGGCTTAAGTGTCACATTTCTGTTATTTTACGCACCAGCTGTAACCTGCGTACACAGCCGAGGCCAGAGTTTCCAATGAGCCGCATTACTTGAGAGCACTGTTTCTGTAAATGTACACGCTGCGGGAATTTGATTGCTCCAGATATTACAACTGTGTGATGTGTCTCTCCGTCCTACCCGCCGTGCAGGCTACGACAGCCCGGGCTCGGTGCTGATCTCTCCGGTCCCGCACCAGATGATGTCCTACATGAACATGGGCAGCCTGTCGCGGACCGAGCTGCAACTACTCAACCAGCTGCACTGCCGCAGGAAGCGGCGGCACCGCACCATCTTCACCGACGAGCAGCTGGAGGCCCTGGAAGGCCTCTTCCAGGAGACTAAGTACCCGGACGTCGGCACCCGGGAGCAGCTGGCCCGCAAGGTCCACCTCCGGGAGGAGAAGGTCGAGGTCAGAGGCTTCTTAGAATCATTTACAGTCTGGGAGTTTTGGGTTCAAAACAGGCAGAACAACATTCACCTGCTCTCAATTTAGAGTTTAGTTTAGTTTAATGTAAAATGAGCAGGTTATTACAGTAACACAGACATTACTATTAATATTCATATTGTGTGTCTCATTGTAGTCCGTAACCAATATATTTGATTTATTATGCAGGATTTTCTGTGTCGTTGAACGGCCTATTGTGCATCTAAAAAAGAAACGGAAAAAGGAGGTAACGTAATTTAGCTTGCTTTAAAATAAGTACAGGGTTATTTAGCTCATCATGAACGTGAGATATTACAGTGGTATATGTGTTTTATTTTTATTTTTTTAGTGTATTTTTTTATTATTTTTCTTTGGTTCAACATGTTTTGGTGTGAATAAAAAAACAACAGACATTTACTGTAGAAAACCAGGATATACATTAACCAACTTAATAATAATAATAATACAAATAAATCTACTACTACTTCTAATGATCATTATTTCTCTTATTATTAGTATTAATCGAAGTAACACAACTCAGCAGAATGTTACGGGTCCCTTATTTTAAGGCGAAAATACATTTTTTTAAATCACACAACGCCAGTCTTGTCGCAGGTGACATCACGATATGAATATTTTTTTACATTACAGTAGTCTGTAAATAGATGAATATATTATTAATTAAGACATTAACGCATGTAAATGCCGTTGACGCAAATGTGTAATTTGCCGCCTATAATTAAAAGCGGCTTGACAGTGAAACATTACAGAGAAACGTCCACATATCAACACACTACATAATACAGGTAATCAATATACAATAAAAGAACGAACACATGTGTTAGGCTTCTGTGGAATAAAGGGAAAAGGCTGAAGGCTGTGGGGAAACGAGAGGCGACGTTTGGTATTCATGTTGAAGGAGACGCAGGAATCTCTGAGTGAAATGGTGACAGAGGTTCGAAAGGTTCGAAATAAAAGTAACGAAAAGAAGAAAGTCCTTTAGGCTTAGATGTTAAAACTGTGCTTTTTATCACGTAGGTTTGGTTCAAAAACAGACGCGCGAAGTGGAGGAGGCAGAAAAGATCTTCATCAGAGGAATCAGAGAGCTCTCAGAAATGGAACAAAACCACCAAAACGTCCGCGGAGAAAACCCACGAGGCTAAAAGCGACGTGGACTCGGACAGCTGATAATACCGCGGACACGTGTGCGCGCGCGTGTGTGGACCGATAGCGGGAGGTGGCGTGGACTGGACGGCATGCTGGTGGTGGTGTGATGAAACGTGTTGCCATGTTGCACAGTTGTACATAATCTACATTTGTATTATTGACTTGGTGTCCGCTATTTATATTTAATTTAAGTTGTTGTGACGTTACGCACGCCAAAGGGAGGACTGACTGACGTGTCTGAATATATCGTAATGTTATGTGTGACATTTTAGTGGATATTAAATGTTGTAACTCTGGTACCCCCCTCACCGTTGTAACATTATTCATTGCGCTCAGCCGTCCGCAGGGGGAACACGTGGAGACTAGAAATATGGAGAGGCCGAGGCTGAGCGCAGCATCACCTCACAGCTGTTATGAACAAATATGCCGACGTTTGTGTTTTCTTTTTTTTTTTCATTTTGCAAAAATAAGCAAATTCTACGTAAAAGGACAACGAATATTCATTAAAATATAAATGAAACATCAGCAACACGTTTGGTTTTGTTTCTTCGAGGAGAGGCGTTGATGTTTGTGCGCTGAGGACAGATTCACTCAGTCTGACCTGTTCATTGAACAAGAGGGACACATTACACGTCATATATGCAAACAGGGAATTTAAATGATATCAGATTGACGTCACCGAAAAGAAATGCATGCTAACAAAGATATCGCTGGTGCTGCGACTGAATGCCACGTGTTATATAGAGAATACACTGCCTTCAATTAGCAAACCCATCTCGGTCATGGTTTCCATTTTTGATTTTATAAATAGAAAACATATAACAAAATATTTTGCTTATTTTACATAGACTATATGAACATTTTTTTTTAAAGAATAATTTCTGAATCTCTTCGTTATTTTTGTCACAAATATGCAATGATGATTGCTGGCAAATGTGTATGTTGATGCCGTCCAATGACAAGTCTCTATTTGATCCTGTGATCTATAATAATAGATGATAATATACGGTAGCTAGTTTAGCGCAGAATGTGTGTGTGCGCGCGTGCTTCATGAACTATGACCGGGACCCTTAACTACCTCACGCGAGTGGTCAGGGCAGTCAAAGTTGATAAATGAAGTAAATCAAAGGGAAAACTACACGAGGCAGCTACACTCAGGCAGCGCGTGGGGTGCACGTGACCGAGCAGTGTGGATAAGAAGTGGACAGCGACGCACGAAGAGAGAACGAGAGGAAGGAGAGCGAGAAAGAACAGGTGAAGCTCAGGCCGTTGAAAGGAGGAAACATCTGCAAAGTTACAGATGCGTTCACAACATGCTTATTATTTGAAAAACGACAACTAGTCGTTGATTCTTTGCTTTAAATAAGTAAGAATGGCATCTAAACATGATCATGCTCTGTAAAGCAACATTAAATACATAGAAATAGAAAATAAAGAGGTGTCAGGTAGTAGCTCAGTTACTCAGAGCAGCTTCATGATGCTCAACACCAGCCGGAGCTCCGAGGAGATAGATGCAAAACAAACACCCCAGAAAGTGCTCAAAAATGATATTCACGAGTTATTATTCCTGTAGTCTGAATTATGGAATGCATTTAGTTAACTCTTGAATTTAGGACTCAAAAAAGCTGTTTTTGAACTATTTTGGAGGTTTTCTGGAGCCGTTCTTGTGCGTAGCAGTAGATCTAATCAATACACTCAGCGGCCACTTTATTAGGTACACATGTGGAGTCCAATACAAATGTTCTGTCACTGAGTCCACCTCTATGATGCCTGTCTTCAGTTTTTGTTGACACTGTCATTGATCGACTAGCATTAGAGCTCATAGACCCTCTCATGTTGGTAAATGAGGAGGAAACAAAAATAGAAACACATGACAGATAATAACTGTAAAACCTGTTATGTCATTGAATTTACATATTTCCAACAATGTTAACTAAATTCTATGATGCCCATGTCTATAATGCGCTATAACAAAATTATAATCGGTTATAATCAGTTTATATCACTATTTGATTATAATTATAGGCATTTATGAACATTCATAATGGTTTATTACAATAATGATAACACATTACAAAGCGTTTTATAATGACATACGGTCAAATATCATAATACTTCATATTTTTTGGTCACTCGTTGACCTTTTTTTGCTGGGATCATATTTTATTTTATTATAATTCCCATAGTTGTAATAAAGTGAACATAATAAACTGTAAAGGTAGAATTTATGGCAATAGATAATATTGTATTGCAATAGATGGTACAGGTGTACCTAATAAAGTGGACACTGAGCGTACCTCACTGGCACAAAGAGTAAACAGAACAACAATATTTCAACCAGTGGTAAGAGCTGTGAATGTGTGGAGCCTGGACTGTTCCAGATGTTCTGTAGCACCACTGGATGTTAGCTGTCGGGCTTTTAAAGGGAGCTGCTAACTTTTACTTTCTAATTGAAAAAAAGAGACAAGTTCACATCAGAGTATCAAGTGGAACTCAAACGCTCTTTAGTTTTCAAAATAAGGTTCACTTCACCATCACTTCAGATAAGAGCCATTTAGAATAATGAACGTTTATTAAAAGTTGGGTATTTTATATGCTGATTTCAGTATTTTTAGATCCAAAATAGCAACAAAACAAAAACCATCCCTAAAAGTCTTTTTTTCAACTGGCAGTGTGGAGAATGCACTGAAAGAGCATTCAGACCATCACATTGAGAAACAGAAAATACAGTTAACGAGATAAATAAAATAAGAAAAATCCTATTCATGAGAAAATATATTTTCTTCTTCTGGTCAGAATTGTGTGCTGGGCGGACGCTTGTGTTTGGGGGACTTGGACTCATTCAAATTCTCTCTAGAGCCCTTCAGCTAGTGATTATTACCATCAGACTAATCAATTGGTCTATAACATGTCCAAAGTAATGAGGACGAATACGTCCACAAACTGCTTATTTTGTCTGAAAAACTACAATTAAAAGCAGCAGATCATCACGGTAGAAAAGCTCTGATCATGGACCAACAGATTCATTGGACTTGAAGGTTTTTTGCTCTCGTCACCATTTAACAAAGTCAATTGGTCTTCATACTTTCAAAGTTGGTCTTTTTTTACACTGTAGTAATCCAGGAGCATCAGGCCGAGTCTTTAAATAAATGTTCATTGTAGTCTGAACAACAAAAGGAGCACAAACAACTTTCTTCATTTAGTAGAAAGATTTGTGTTTTTATGATCTGATATTTCCCTCAATAACTTTTATTATGAATACATTTAAAGTCAGAGAGAGTTTTTTTACATCATTTCATTCAGTCAGGTGAGGCTGATCATTCCTGAGTGTTTGAGTTTTATCATTTAAGTTTAACCTGAAACATGGAGCCTAATAAATTAATTCCAGCATTCAAGAGAAACCATAATCATATTCTGGGTTAATTAATAATGACGTCACAATCAGAATTTCAAAACGTACAGACGCAAATAAGTCATAAATAAGTCAAACATATTCTGCCGGTAGAAATCGGTCCTGCGCTCATAAACAGGACACAGAGAGAAACACCTCTACAGTGATGATAACTGTGTGTCTTTATTAATTATTAGTATTATTGTTACTATTATTAAGTACAATCATCATGTGATTGCACGTTGACAAACTTCTCAGAAGTCTCTCCAGCTGTTAAAGGCGACTGACAGCTGATCCAGCTGTGATCATCAGCCACCGTCATCAGAAACAGACGTCACTTCACTTGACGCTTCAGAGGAAAGGTCGTCTCATATCTCTTGAAAAATAATTCCTTGTTTCCTCTCTTCGCATGGTTTCCTTGCGTCTCTCCATGCATCCCTGGTGGGAGGGACTAAGACGCCACCAAAGGGCGCAAGTGAAGGAAAGGGGGATGCAATTAAGAGACTTGGGATGTACCCTGAGTCAAACCACACTCCCGTTACTCTTCTTCTCACATCACTCAATCCTCATCACATCAAGCCCACTAAACACTAGTTTAGTGGTCTAGTGGTCATATCTGATCATCACTTAACACAACTATAGATATTACATATATGAACCTGTGTTTACGTAATTATATTTACATCACACAGTTTCACTCTTACACTAATAACATTTACATCATTTTAATAGAGTAAGGTTTTGAATCCCGGACTTTTACCGGAGTATTTCAGCACTGTGGTTTTAGCACTGAATACTGCTTCCACCACTGATTTGCAGCAATATTTCAATGTGTGAAAATAATAAAATGAACACTGTGGTTGTCCATATTTACGTTTTGGTGTTCTGTTTTAGGGAGATACTTTGGTTTTCTTTGATTAGAATACTGGAATAAATGTTGCCTTGCAAAATGTAAAATTAGCATATTAGCCATAATAAAATAAAGAAATCTTGGTATTTGTGCTCCAGTTCACCATAGAAACGTCTGACACGTCTCCCTATTCACTCACTCATAAAAGATGATATGATCTAAAATGATAACAATCAAAAGTTGTCAATTTAATTCCATGATATTTGAGTTGTATTGTATACAGCTACAGAAGTCATCTACAACAATATGTACTTGAGATTGAGCCTAAAAATGTACTTCTGACCTCGAAACAAAAGAAGCTAAACTCAAGGTCTACTTATAGCTTTTTGCTGAGCTCTCAATTTCCCATATTCAATCACGTGTACCACTTTCTAAAAAAGCACCAAGGTTTGTAAATTAACTAATATAATGCGATGGTTATTAAATCACTCATTAATGTTTTACAGTTACAAGCTATAAATAAGAACAACTTTAAAGGTCGACTCCATCTGCTTTACTTTCCCAGTTTTTCCGATCTTGAACATGATGCGACCCATAAAAAAATGATACTAATGATACTAATGGTACGAATGGAGCCGCCCTTTAAGCTTGTCAGCTTGTGAACAATCCCTTTAGCTGGTGTTTGAATTTATCAACAACATATTGACATGCAGACTGAAAGAATGCTTGAATATTTATCATTCATATAATATAGCATAATATAATACAGTGTCATGATGGAGGATGATTTAAAGTGGTTAAGGTTTTTCACAACCTGGTAGCCTAAATGTGTCTTTTATTATATCTTAAAGCTGATCTATAAAGCACTGGTAAATCATTTATTATCCATTAATAAAGCCATTAGTTAGAAAATCAGTAAAACTTGCAAAGTGATACCACCATGAAGTCCCATGCTTAA